ATAGCATTTAGCAAATACTGACAGGTCATGCTGAAGGGGGAAGAAGGGGGAAAATTACATCTAATAATGAAATTTTAACAAATAAGCTTTTCTTACACATCTCCAAAACCAGGGCAGGAAAGATAATATGACTGTGGATTTAAAGAGATCAAAAGCACAGTTTAAACTATTTCAACAGTTTGCTGAAACACCAGGTAACAGAGTATGACAGTATCCAGAAATGATAATTACACACACAGACTGAATTCCACCCGCTGTGCAAGCTGTCACACCATGACACATACACAAAGGAAAACAGTAAGAACTGAATGAACAGCTGTACAGATTTTAATTTTGGACTCTGGGTGCTTAATTCTTCTATCTGAAACTAGCAACACTAACTAAAATTAGAAATCAAACTTTAAATTTAAACTGTAATCCACAAGAGAACAACTCCATGTAGTGCACCACTGTCAGAATCTAGCAGGGCAAGCAAGCAGCTACTCCAGAGCTAAGGTGAGGACAGGGACTCATCACCAGACCAGGATGCCAGTCAGAAGAGGGAGTTAGGAATAATTCAATAAAGCAACAGCACTCTCTCTCTCCTGCCTCAACACCAGATGTCAGAGACACTGGCTTTTAAAAAACTTTACATGAGGGAGGAAGTGCATTTAACCTATACAAACTTGAACACACAAAAGACAAAAATCAAAACTAATATCCAAAACTTTAGCAGACCAAAGTACTATCAGAATTTACATGAGGACAACAAACTCACTCAAGGAAAAAGTCAAACAACCCCCTTCCACAAACCCATGATAATTCTCACAACCCTAGGGCTGTTATTAACTCTGGAAATGTCACCAACACAGACAAATTATTAGGTAATTAATTTCTCAGATCTAAGGGACTTAATTAAATGTATCCCTGCTCATGCTAATCTTTGCTAGGGCACTGCTTCAACTAAGAAATTTTAACTTCCCAACATTTTAAAATGCCTTATAATGCTGACATGATGTCCTTCAAACACATGGCTTGGTTCCTTTTTAAAACTCCCTTGAAAAAACCAAAAACTCAACTATAATCATAGTCATTTTCCATAAGGATTTATTTTATAAATTATCCACAAAGTCACAACAACCCATCCCCCCTCAGCCCCCAAACTTCAATTTTCTAAGAGAATCTAGAGGCTAGGGATGTAGAGTGTGTTCTTTGTACTTTCCTTTCAAAAAATGCAAGGAAAACAAGTGTAGTTTCCCTTGGTTTGGGTGGAAGCCACCAAATCTAGGCTGCCTGTAGAGCTATACATGCTTTCTTTCTGAAATGTCACTGAACATGTTCAAAAAGCTTCAGTCTGTCATTTTTTCCCACTTTTTATCCTGCTTAACTAAAGTTACCTCTGCTCTGCTTTCCCAGCTGCCTTCTTTCTGTCTAGAATCTGAATTTCTAGTAAAAAAAAAAAAATTAACACTCTCCTCAGAAATAGTAAACCCAGGATACACAAAGCAACACCTTTTTAAATGATGAAGAAATCTACTCCACCTACTTGTTTATTCACAGTAATCAACAGTCTTAATAGCCAAATCTGCTGTACTGTATTACTAACAGTGGTCTGTTGTCTGGTTCTCAAAATTACAGCATCAAGGATCTGTTTTGCTCAAAACCAGCACTTTGAAATAACATAAGGGATGTTTATTGTTACATAAGAAGATTCATTACATTTTGAAGGGGTTTTTTTAGATGTACATGATACTTTTTAATTTCTTAGATGCAGCAACAGACTTTGCAACAGCCACAATGTGTTTACCTCAGAAACCTGGCAGCTAAACCAACTGTCAGAACACAGGATGAGCTGGTAACCTCCAGTACCACTGTCTGCATGTCAAAGAGGTTTTTTACTGGTCCTTTACCTCCTAACAAAACCACTGACTGAAGCCAAGCCGTGGCCAGGCAAGGCAGACTCTACAGAATTAACACCACTCAAGGCCCTTAGCTGTCACTTCCTTTAAAAGGGTTACTTTTTATATATCCCTGGATCAACTGCATATTTTACAGCTCCCAGAGACTCAGCAAGGTTGTTTTTCCTTCAGAAGACTCTTAGAGAATATCACTTCTGAACTGCAGTTTCCAGTTGTAATAAGGAAGATGCACTATTTTTGCTATTTACTTCTTTGTAGGAACATGATGGGAGAAAGATAAGATGAAAGGGAAGCAAAATAAGCATCAAAACAGTAATTAGTCATTTAAATATCTTGTGACTCGATGCCTGAATATTAAATCTCTTTGATTGCATTTTTCCCTAGGGAAAGTTATTTAGTCAAGAGGAGAACTCTTAGCTCCAAATATCTGTTCATTTAAAATTACATTTATGCAAAACTCAAACCAATGATAGAATTCTATTTATAAAAAGTTATAAATGCTAATTCATACTAGTTGAAGACACCCTCTCCTCCAAAATCTTATGGACACTTGGCCATCTGTTTGTAATAAAACATCTATCATTTCTGTGAGCACTAGGGAAAAAATCCTCCAATTCAAGTCCTCAGCTACATAACACAAACTATCAACTTACCAAAATCCTGCATGGCCTGAAGTTTGGGAAACAGCATACAGGAGGGTATTGAACCTATGAGGTTTTCCCCAACTTAAGTCATGGAACTCTTGTCAACACTAATATAAACTGAAGAGAAAGCTTTTTAGGGCAAGAAGGAAGGAAGGAAATTTAGAGTAACTCTGCAGAAACAATAAGGAACAAGCGTTTAATAGCGACTATTTTATGTATGAAGGTCCAAAAAAAGATTCAGGAGGACACCTGTGCTTACTGATGGCAAACAAATTTCTTTTGGGGGTGTGTGTTTGTGTGTGTACACACAGATTCAAAACAAATGCAGGAGCAAACTCCAGCTGTGGGAAGTGTCTACCTACTCCCAGAGCTAACCCTCAAAGCTAAATTTAGGAAACAAAAGCATCACATTAACCACAAAAACAAGTCTTATAATTAATGTTTAAAATTTTTTCCTTACCCATGACTACTTAGGTAGGATATATATGTCTGGGTTTAGGGAGATGATACAGACAGGCCATGTAATTTTCTAGCCTGAAAACTTGTAACTGCCAGGCAAACAGTAAAAGAGAAAGAGAGCAACCTGACATTTCTACAAATAAATGCATGCATGCAGTCTCACTCTCCTGAACTGAGAGATAAACTCAGCAAGTGTCACAGCAAACAGCAGAATTTAATATTCTGGTACATGAGGAAATGGTGCTTTCTCTCATATTCAGAATCTACAGGTATCAATTCAGAATATATCTACTGCACCCAAAGGAAACACAAGCATCCTAAGCACTGCTACCTACCACTTAAATACTCCTCAATCAATACCATGCTAATGTTTTAAGCATCTTCACAAAAATAAACACCACCAAAACAACTCGATAAAACCCAACCTACCAGTTAGAAAAATAATAAAATCCCACAAGACCACTACACTTCACAATATACATTTTAGCATATGTGTAAAGCAACTTATGACTTGCAGAAGACTTGGAAATACCAAATTATGTTAAAATGGTAAGGAGTTATGTTAAAAAAAGCCTCAGAGAATGGTTACTCTATGGACAACAACATGCAAAGGGCATTACTCTCTAGAAATCTTTCTGCCTGAAGACATTTCATAAAAATTCACTGAGGCCATTAACTAAGAGCAATAGTGCCACAAAGAGGAAACTCCATTTAAAGATGATACCTCTCTTAAAACAAATGTAACTCCAAGTTTGCTACATCTAGAACTAGGAACTAAAAACTTTACAGCCTGTCACCTTCAAAGGACAAAGAAGTCTGACAACTAGAAAAACTCAGGCCTATGAAACTCTAACAGAATCACTGAATATTCTGAGTTGGAAGGGACCCACAAGGATCATCGAGTCCAACTCTTCAGTGAATGGTCCATATGGGGATGGATCCCACAGCCTTGGCACTACCAGCACGCTGCTCTAACCAACCGAGCTAGTGTCACCTTTGTTCTTAGCACCAAATTTCAAAACCTGCTTACATAACTGTATTTCTGCAGTACTTCCCTATTTGCTGTGCCCAATGCACAGATGGGGAGAACTGATTATACTACGGAAATAATTAAAGATTTACAACACTGCAAATAACGCACTTCAGAGCAGAGTCTTCAACAATAACAGTTACCAAGTGTTTTACCTTCAGCAAAAGCAGCTACTTATTGTCTGACCTATCTTGGAAAGTGCTGAGTGAATGATTAAATGACCCTGAAGTTCAAAATGGTTTAAAGTTTCATCCTCCACTGAGACAGCAAAACCGAGCAGGAAGTGATAGACTTTTAGCCTCCAACACGGATTTCCTTACTCTGAGCAGTGCTTCAGAACTGACTTTCGTGGGGACCGTCACAACTTCACCTACACTGCGCCTGTCTCATGGCACTTACAGGGCTCTTAGATAAACCTAAACATAAATCCTTCCACTTCCTATTTCAAGGCAAAAGGAAAAGGCACCACCGGGGCCCCACCGGGCCCCGCTCCCCTGAGGGCGGCCAGGCCCGCGCGCGCTCCCGCCGCCGCGCGCCCCCCGCGGCGCCGTCCGGCTCGGCAGCGCCCCCCGGCGGGGGAGCGCGCGCATGGCGCCGCCGCCGGGCCCCGTCTGCTCCTCGCGGCTGCCGCACCAGGCCCGGCCCAAGGACCGAGACACAAAATGGCGGCCGCCCCGCTGTGTCACGTGACCCCCTTTGTGCCTTTCGGGGCCCGGCGGAGGGGCCGCCGGCGGCCGCGGGGCACGAGCGGGGGGCGAAGGGGCCGTGAGGGAGCTCCCGGGGAGGGCGCGGTGAGGGATGGCCGGGCTCGGCGCTTTCCCGCCCCGGGTGTCCCCCCCCTCCCGGCGGGCGGGGAGAGTGGGGAGAAGATGGCGGCCATTTTGTGCTTGCGCAGAGGCGAAGGTGGGGGCCCGGGTGCGGGGGGGATGGTGGGACCCGGCCGAGGGGGGGGGGGGGGGTCTCACGTACCGACTCCTCTTCCTTCTCCATGCCCGTGGGCATCTGCGGCACGGCCCGGTTAATGGAGGCATATTCGGCCAAGTCAGGCAGGTCCTCGCAGCGGAAGACGGGCAGCGGCTTGGACGCGTCCAGCGCCCGGGCCCGGAACGACAGTTTGCTCATGTTAGGCGGCGATGGCGGCTCCGGCTGGGAAGGGGGGGGCGACAGCAAGCGCGCTCCGAGCTGAGAGCCGGACCCCGCCGAGCGATCTCATGGAGGGACCGGGGCTCCCCCGGCGGGGCGGGGCGCACTCCGACACGGGGCCCGGCGGCGCCCGCTGGCGCGGCTGGGCTGGGCGCTGGCTCCGCTCCTCCGCCGCTCCGGTTCCGCTCAATACGCCACGGCCAACATGGCGGACATTAAACCTCGACTGGCCGCCTCTTTCAGCCAACCCCAGCGCCACAGCCATTCCCACACTGCATCGCGCAGGGCGCGGGCACGGCGCCGCCCGGGGGGAGCGCGCGCGGCGCGGGCACGGCGGCGCGGGCTCGGGAGCGCGGGACGCTGCGAGCGGCCCGAGCGGGATCGGGAGCGCGGGAAGGCTCAGAGCCGCCGGAGCCAGATCGGGGCACAGGGATCAGGGGCGCAGTCGGGAGCAAAGGGAGTTTTAATCAACGTGTGCGGCACCGCTCCGCCCTCCGGCCGCCGAGCTGTGCCGCGGAGCCGCGCTCCGCTCCTGCCGGGGTGAGGAAGCTGGGGCAGCCCCCAGCCCCTCAGCCCGGGGGGAACCTCCCCTGGAGCCGCGCCTGACCATGACAGCTCTGGGAAACCTGGCCGAGAGAGGCGGGGAGGTGCCGGCCCCGACCTTTCCGGCCTCTCGGGGGCCGGACCGCGGGACAGGGGTGCCGGGTTCTGAATTCACCCCGACCCGGGAGGGCTGCGGTGCCCCCGGCCGCGGCCGGAGCGGCGCCCCGCGAGTGGGGGGGTCCGACCGCGGGGCCGCCCCGGGAGCGCCCCTCGCCTCAGGCCCCGGCCGCGGCCCCGCCGCCGGGCGCTGTCCCTCTCTCTCCGCGCCGCCGAACCGGGTTCGCGTCCGTGCTAAATAAAGGGGAAGCGCGGGCACCTGCCCGAAAACGGTGAAGAACCGTAAGAACCGGGCACCTCCACAACGGCATTTCCACCCCTTTTCTCTGAGGTTTTCAGAAACTTAGTCCGGCAGCAAAGTGCAGACACGTGAACTGGTTTAAGCCTTGCGTGGACTTAAGTTGTTATCAGTGACCCGGCTCAAGCGAGCTCACCCCAGGCAATGGGTAGAACCCACTTGAGCGTGTCTGATTAGGGAAGCTCGTTTACATCTCAATGAGTCGATTAAAGTGATGCACTGTTCGGCTCTAAGCAAGGGATCGGAAATGCCGAGTTAGCCCCGTCTCGGTGCTCTCTGCACAAGCCGCCCCAGGGCATCCCAGCGCGGCCACAGGAGCGTCAAACTCCGCTCCGGCCAGGCCAGGGCTGCAGCCGCCCGGCTGAGGAACTCTACGTGCCCGTGTATGCTCTCGCAGCAGGTTACAGGTAATTCTAGCTCTGTAGTCAAAGCTATCTTATCGAAGTTATGCTTAGTTTCATTTAAAATGCGAGATAGTTGAGTGTTGACTGAATTTCAGCGTCCCTCCACTTCTAATGCAAAATACTGTAGTTTTTACAGTCACACGGGAATCGGTGGACAAAACTTTGCTCTATCACATACTACTCTTGGGAAACGGCTTTCAGAAATACGGCATAGGTAGAGCCAAAAAAACCCCCAGAAAACCAAAAATAGAAAAATCTTATTTTGCTTAGCAATTTTGAAATCTCTATAATAAAAGCAAAAGCCATTTTTAAAATCGCACCACCTTAATAATAATACTACCACCACTCACCTCAACCTTAAGCCACTACTAGGCACTAGATGAAATATTGCTAGATGCAGTTGTTGACAGAATTTTCAAGCCAACTATTTGCATGACTGTTTGGGAAACCAAAACCTGCTATGTTTCCCAAGCTGCTTAAACTGCAACTCATTTGGCTTCATAACTTCTCTGGGATGCTAAATTCTACCTGTACTGCAAATGGGTAATGCAGTGGAAGACAGCTGCTAGGGAGAATGAGACTATTTTTTTTTTAAGAGAGCCTTGTTTGCTGTTTTTTAATTTCTTTTCAGGAGAGTGGCATGAACTAAGTATCATTGTATTCATTTTTATTTCAGTAGTTACATCAGAATCAAATGTTTAACCATGCACATTGCCTTTTACTCTATTTCTAAAGCTTAAAAAACACACTAGTTCAAAAAATATAATCTTAAAATAAATTGCCCATAAAGCATCTACACCCTTTTCCACAAATACTAAATAATTTAGTTTATCCAATTAGCAGACAGATAAGGTGCTGAGAAAAAAGAACAAAAAAAAATCACAATATGCCATCATAGATTAGCTTTGACTTTAAAAATTAAATGAAAATTAAATACCTGGCAGCTAAGCAAAAAAAAAAAAAAAAAAAGCCATTAAGTATAACTCTCCACTTATACTGATGAAAGGAAAACAATACATAATGAACATAATGAAAACCAAAGTACTGAAAATATCCTGAACTATAAAGGAAGAATAATCAAATTCAAACTTATCCTTAATTGACCTTTGCATTTCTAACCCTGCCACAGGCTTGAGAAAAGTGCAGAACAAGCAGAATGGACAATAACGTTTGGAGACAAAGAGGACAGTGCATTAAGAAAAAGTTTTGGCATGAAACACTTGGATTCATCAGCTTTTAATGTTTTGCCAATAAAAGAGATTGTGTTAAAGTATTTTGTAGCAGAAGATGATTAGCCCTCAAAATTAATTTGCTAGTACGATGGAAAGTGTGATAACTGCAAACAATGTGACATCAGCCCTGATGTCTGCTCACAGGAAAAAGTATGGAACATAACCAGACTGATATTTCCATTTTATCTTCCTTTCAGTAAGAAAATGCAGGTATATTTTAGGGTTTTTTTCAATTTTGTAGCTTATATCAAAATGCACAATTTACATCTGTAGACATCAGTGCTGCACTATGACAGTAGCTAATGCAGAATTGGTATGTTTTGTATAGTGACCAAGATACTCTCTGCAAGCTCTCAGTAAAAGATCAGTAAGTATAAATTAATTTGTTGAACCTAAGTGCTATGTGTCTATTTTAAAAACTGAACTGTAGGATAAAAGGACTGAAATATAATGAAAAGACATTTAGAATTGCTATCATTATTGCTTTTTAAATGGCTGAAATAATTTGGGGAATTTCTTTAAGGCTTTATCTTTTTATGATCACGATTAAAAGGACAAGGTTAACTGAAATGAAAGCACTTTGTGTATCAGCTATGCAGCTGGTAAATATAACCCTTTCAAAATACATTCAAAAGTACTAAATTCAGACTGAGCATTATGGGCAAAGATACCCCTTGATCCATCCACCTCCAGACAGGGGGGTAGGGGTCCCTTGTGCTCTCATCTAACTCAGGTTTGTGAAGCCCAAAAACATAACTTCTATTTTGGTTTGCAAGTCCTGTGTACTGTTGGACAAGTTTTTATACATTTTGGTACTTAATTAGTTTTATGGCTTAAAACCTTTCTGAGTTCAAGAAGGACTTCAGTCATTTATTTAAGCATGAATTGCAGCCTTTGGCACATGGAGTTAATCTGGCCTCCCATTCTAGCAGTAATCATCACAAAAGTACTACACATAACATGCATATAAGTTAAACCATGTCACTTTTTTTGCCTTTTGGCCTCAAGCATTTTGAATTTTAAAGATATAAAATTCTAGGAGACTGTTGTTCAATTTGAAAAAAAGGAAAATCTTTAAAAAATATATATTTTTAATTAGGGTTTGTTTGCATTTTGTATTACACTAAACTATACACTGATTTTTGTATCCATAAATATTTGCAATTTTTTTTTCACTCTGTTACTACCTTACACCCTACTTCTAATAACTCTTCATTTATTTATGCAGCAATTTGGTTGACCTGGGGTTTTTTTAATGCTTTTTTTTTTTTTAATACCCAAAAGCTGAGTAATAATACTCCAGCATCCTCACAAAAACAAAGCTCATCCTCAAACAGATATGCCATGGAGGCATATCCAAAAGAGAAGGAAAAGCCACTGGCAGCAATTCTCTTACTGAGAAGAGACAAAGCTAAGAGAGGAGCAGCAAAAGCTATTGCCAGATTTCTAGTTTTCCAGCAACAGATAAACTCTTAGAGGTGGTGAAGACAGTTGTCCATAGGAGGACTAAGAAGACTTCAAAAGGAATTAATGACTAAGGGTTAATGACTTAATTAATTATTTAGATTATCATTTTACAGACTCACCGTTGTCCTAACATCACCTGGACAGATAAGCAAGAAAATGGTAAAATGGGCTCTATCTGAAAACACAAAGGATTTGATAGAGTTTTTTTAGTACTGTCAGAAGAGAATCACTTTCCTTTATATAACTTGTTTTGGAGACTCAAGTTTTTTTGTGTCTAGGGAAAACACATCACAGTGGAAGCAGTTATTCTCTTAGAGACAGTGGTGGTAAAAAGACACAAATTATGCTGAGACTCTTCTGTCTTGAAATACATCTTTCCCTGCTTAAATTTTAATGGATTCAGGACAGGTGTCCTAGGAATTGTAAGGGTTAAAAGTGACTTATGATTTTCTCCTTCATGTTTTCATCTTTTTACACGTATCCCCTCTAAAATACTTTGCTAGACACACCTTGAATTCTTGATTTAGTCATCTTTACTAGCAAGTAATTTCACAAATTCATTGTTTAGGATTAAGTAGTAAGATAAAAGGGAACAAAACAAAATCCAAAAATGCTTCATTTTATGCTTTAGGTTTTTGGTTTTTTTAAAAGTCTTTATCCAAAACATTTTGTATTCTAACATACAGAATAATAATAATACTACTAAAATCACAATTCATTAAGTAAACACAATTTGAGCAGGGTGGTTTGGTTACCTCTTCTGACTTAGGCATGGACTTCTGCAAACATCAGATTATAACACATGAATAATCTCTGAGTCAAGTAAATTTAATCACATGATCCTGTATTATTTCTAGTAGAACAGCCAGCAGAAGGGCAAAGCCCTTATGCTTTGCTTGCAAAAAAACCCTAACACAAACAACAAAAAACCCAAGCAAACAAACAAAAAAGCAAGCAAAACCACAAGCACATTTAAAAAAAACCAAAACAAACAACAACCAACCAAGCATAAAAGCCCTGCCTTCTCCTGCCAACACAATTGCTAGTTCTTCAATCAAAGAGCTAAGGATGTCTTACTTTGATATTCTGCATAGCATAAGGTGGAAGGCTAAAAAAAGGCAAACAGAAGTAGAGAAATTATAGCTGTACACGTGTCTGCACACTGTCCCAAATCCTTCAATTGACTATTGAGCTAAAACAAACAAAAAAACCCAATACACACACCTGGCACCACTACATAAACCTCAACTGCCAGTGCTCACAGCCCAACCTGAGATAAAGGGGTAAACTGGGGACAGGCTCTGTGCCTTTGCATGACTTCAGAAACTTTACTTCTACCCTGGTAGTTGCCTGGCTCTATGTAAATGCAAATAAAATAGCAAATTCAGTTCAATAGTAAGAGCTGAATGTCTTACTATTACATGCTCTAACTTTTTAGATTTTTACCTTACACTTCCAAGATAGAAATCCTGTCTTGAAAGTCAAGTTAAGAAAAATCATTTCAAGTGCTTCAGGGCTTCTGGTAAGTATGATCAAGTATTTTCAAACTTCAAAATTACATTGCTGATGTTAAATAACATGGAGTTAAGTTAATGTGGAGTTATGATATAATTTTATCTATAAGTATATAACTTTATATAACAAGGACAAATGCTTTAATTTACAGTTCCTGAATCAGAATGAAAGTAGGTTATCTGCTTCTCTCACACAATTGAGGAAAACAGTGACTTATACCGAGATAGGAATTAGCTTGGCTTCAGAAATCCTTTGGTGCAGGAAAGTATATTTACATCTTGGAATGAAGAGGCATTTCCTAACATATATGTTTAGATTTTTTTTATTTTAATGTTAGTGGGATGTACCTACATACCTACAATGTAAGTGAACTCTGAATTCCACATGAAATTAATACAAATATGTTATTAAGTACCTTATACAGGCTATACCATCTTTACTTAACAGAAATACATTTCTCCAAAGGAATGAAAAAAATACAAATAACTCAGCTTTTGGATTTCCAAAGCTAGTTATTAGTTCTTGCTAGCTTGCAAGAACAGAAATATTCTTTCCATTTTAGAAGTGGATTTTTTACACACTGCAGTTTGATTTATACTAAATTAACATGAGTGAATGTTATAAAACTATTGCTTGTCTTCTGGGATACAAATAATCATGATCATATTTATAACCCAATGTTTATATATAAAGTTAAGAAAGCATAAATTAATAATGCTGCATTAGTGGGAAAAAAGGCCTAATGAATTAAGTTTGACTGTAAATATCCAGCAGAGGAGGCTAGTTCTGAATAGAAAACTGATCAGATGAGACTGTTTTGAGATACCCTTACCTATATATCTTTAAATGATAGCAGATGCTTAAAATGTAAAATTCTGATCGGGTTAACCTGAAGAAAATATAATTTCTGAGGTTTTTCAACATTTAGAGAACTTGTGGGGGGTGGGCAGATGTTGAGAGGGAAGTGTTTTGGTCTAGATGAAACAAGAAGTTGCCGTGAGAAGAAAAATAGAGAAATCACATGATCCTATTTTCTCTGTCACTAATGTAGGTGGGATAATGGAAACCAGAGGTGCTGTGATATCCCTGGCATTTTCTTCTCAGCTGCCCTGCGAAATCCCCAAATCTGCTGTTAGGGCAATCTGAGAAGCAGAGCCAAATGGAAGGTGGTTTTCTCAAGTCATTCAGGTTACAAGCATAAGACTTGCACCCCCTCATCCATTTCTGACAAAGACACTCAGTTCCCATTCTTTATTGTGCAGTGTGTCAGTTTTTGGCTGTTCTGACATTCTGCTCCTCTGACCAAGAGAACACGACAGAGCCCTGTCATTAACACTGGGGCTAATGTGCGCCAGCACATTAATGTGCACCAGCCTGCCACTGGTCACACGTGCCCAGTCTGCTGAGCTTTTGACTTACAAGCAACTCAAGAAAGGTGTTAGCATAGAGAGACACAACCTAATTAAAATAAATATCAAGGGAGAATATGAAAGATGGGAAGAAAAACAGTTTCTCACATTAAAGTAGCTCATCTGGAGGCCTGATTGACTAGACCTTCCAAATCCCACAGATTCCCATAATATCCAATTTTTAACTTGGAAATTGTTTCAGAGATGACAAAAGAAAGCAGAATACTTTCATATGGAATCTTCATTCATTATGTGCTTATAGATGGATATGGGCTAAACAGAAAGTTTCTATGCAGAGTTATGAAATGTATGTTTTTCCCCCCCTCTGTTATCCAGCATGGTTTCTCCTTAAAAGATGCTGATTGCAGCAGTTTTCTTGAATTGTGAGTACACAAGCACTTTGGCTAAAGACATCAAGATGTTCTGCCTTGTGTGGATACCTTTAAGACCATCAGAAATAACACAGCTGCTCTGAATTATAACCTTTTAAATTGAATTTTAAATTTTCTTGAGGAAAAAAAAATCTTTTGAATAAATACAGCCAGAAAACATGCCCTATCTACCCCTGGTGTTACAGATGAAAAACTGTCAGGTGAAAGGACCCTTTCAAGAAGTTATCCTTTTAGTGATCAGGTTATGGCAGCACCAAGACTCTTTGATAAATAGAAAGGGATGCCTTGAAATCCTCAGATCTGAGTCACTTGATTTTTAAGTCTGTTTGAACAAACATGGAAAGCTCACTCTTATTTGTATTAATGAATATTCCAGATGCACATCCCTGTGAGGCCAAAGGTCTTACCTCCATTTAGTAATTTTCTCAAGGCTCTGAAAGAGAGTGAGGATTAAGAGCTAACTTTTCATTACCTAAATCATGCATAGGTCAGTATTAGCAAACTCGGGGGCATGGGATATCTCTGATTAAGTGAGGGCATTCATATCTGAACAGGAGGCAGATGGAGACCTGATCAAGACACTCAGTTAAATTTAAGATACAGTTCTTATCACAGCAGACATCCAAAATTTGGTTGTGTTTGTTTGCTTGTTGTTTTTGCTGTTGTTGGAATCCTTTTGTCATTTTTTGAAGCTATGATTTACTTGATCTCTTTCTTTCCACTGAGGATTACAGATTTAACAATACTTGTCTAAAGGCAAGTGAAAGAAAGAAGTTCTACATGAATGTATACAATACAGGGATTCTGAGTCACTCAGAAGCCCAACTTACTGTAAATCCTGGAAAATACCGGGATTTAACACTGCCTTTCAGGCCCATTTCCCAGGTCTCTAACCCAAGTCAAAACCAAAAAGGAACCTGATAAAAGGAAGACTGCTCTGGGAAGAACAAATGTGCTCAGTGTTCCCTGGAATTCCTACATTTTACATTTAAACATTATTGGCTAAAATCCATGAGGCAGTCCTGGGAGCGGGGATGAGATTGAACCCCACCTTTTCTCTCTTCCTCTGGAAATCCCAGTGCTCAGTGCATTGTAAAATCTAACTCATCCTTTTCCCATTACCTAGCAATAGTGCTCCAGGTTCTGCTCAACAACATAAGATGGCGAGTCAGCATCCCCCATTTTCAGTCATTTGCTCCAAGCTGGAATTCCCATGGACTACATTTAGAGCTCTTGCTATTTTTACTGGTGCTCAAAGCAATAGACACTGCACCTGTAACTACTGCTTTCTGTTGTATGGTGTTGGTTGGCTCTGAGGAACTTTCCATTTACCATCCAGGAGCTCCAGAACAGCATCCCAACTTGCTGCTCAAGTAGTGAAGACTAGGACTCACGTGTTATTTGGCAATTCCCATCTCTCTGTTGTTTATATTGGGACATAAGCAGAGAGAATAATTTTTAGCAAATGTACCAACTTTTTAAGCACTGCAATACCTTCTGACCCCCAATTTCAGGCTCTAGCTACTATTCAAAGAGAACTGATGAACAAATCTTCCTATTAAGGAAGTTTATATTATTGATATTATCTTTCTCCTGGATAGTCCAGTGGTAACACAATTAACTGGAGATGTGACTTAGTAAAGGGTTTAAAGAAGCCCACAGGACCTGAAGCCATTGGTGTGTGGTCACATCTATCCAAGGCATATTTTGTTGCTCACAACAGCAACACAGGAGTTATATTTCAAACCTCTGACATTCTCTCACCCTGTATATTTACTAAAGAATTTAAAATCTAGGATTGTCTCTTCACTGCAACATGAATTAACTTCTTGTGCTATTTGCTAAGAGAGGAAAAATATGAAGAATGCTAAAAGGTGGAAGGATGTGCTAGCTACAGCAGTTCCTCTGGCATATAGGATTTAGAGCAGATAATTTCGTAACACTGAAAGGTCATGCAAATATCAGTCTGGAATAGATGTGGAGAGACCCAACTTTGTAGATGAGTCTGAAGCAGGCATGTAACATATTGTCCTTTGTTCACCACTGGGAAACAGGTGATCCTAGAAGCAATTTTTAAACTAATTATTCATTGCAACAAGTTGATGCTGACAAGTGTGGATGTGGAGAAGTACAGCTAGCAAAGTTATGAAATTAGAAAGGTGAGAAACAAGATTATGTCACAAGATGTCCAGCGTAGAGATAGCTCCCCCACTTTTGAAACCTTGCTGGATCAAGGACACAATGAATACTTTAGAGCCCTCAACAGATAACAGAGGGGAGTCCCAGGCACCAAGATGTGTTATCAGCACAGGAAACTGGGGAGCACAACATATGAGTCAATGAAGCAGGGGGGTATGGCTTTTGTTTGAGCTGAGCCCCAAACAACATTCTTCTACACCACCAACCCACTTCTGAGGAACTGTTTGCACAGTATTTTGGTTAACTTTGGAAGCTGGTTCTATCTGCCTGGGATCTACACATCTTGCATTAACTACTATTGACCATTTTAGACACCATTTTTACTGTGACTCTTACTTGAGTACATAATATTAGTAATATTAGTAAGAGGAATCTCACCAAGGCACAAAGAACATTTTGGTCAGTCAGGTTGAATTAAGCTCTTGAAAAAGATTGGTTTATAGTACGATCCCATACTTCAAATAGTTTTAAACCAAGAGACCCAAATATCTTTCAAGGGTGTCTGGACTCTATATAGACTTTATAGGTAAAAGGGAAACTGTACTAGGTGAAAAATACATTAGTTTTGGCATCTTAGAAATGGAGGTATATATAAGGGAGAAAATTAAGAAACCTGCCAAAATAAAATTTAAAAACAAACAAAAAAAAAGTTCTTATGCTGCTTGAGGTCCTGGAATTCCACATACTGGTATTTCAGAAGGAGCATGTGGAGAGAACACAATAAAGATTGAACTACCCCACAGAAATTACTCTTCCAGGCATTTCTGCAGAAGATGCAGGAGGTAAATTAGTTGCTAGCTTTGAGAGGATGCACAATCTTAAACACTTCTTACTCCTTATTGGCAACACAATGGCTCAAAAAGAAAGGAGGAGATAAGTGTGAGAACCACTGAATTACAGATCAGCACTTCACTCTTCTCACCTTACGATTTGATGGGAGTAAACCAGACACTTTCATCAGATACAGCTTCAAAGTTGCAAAACCACAACCAAAGTTAAAGAGTAGCCTCAGTTGAATGGGAGAGAGGGGAGAAAGTGTGAAGCAAGTTTCCATTCAGATTTCATGTTCTTGCTGACTTCACTGAGCTCGAAGTGACTGAGCAGCAAGATCACAACAATCAGTTCATGGCCTGCATGCACAGGGTGCAGCCACAAGAAATCATAACTTTCATGGTGCAGGATGATAAAAGCATTAAAATACCTTCAGTAAGCACCTCAGTTTATCATTTGTTCAGTACTGTTGTCCATGGATGAGCACACTGAGTATTGGTCTAAATGATGTCAAAAAAGAAAAGTTGCATCAGAATTTAAGAACCCAGTGATTCTCTAAGATTGATAAATATTGTAATGAACTCAACAACTGGCACTACTTCTATTGGCATAAACTTTGCCCAGAATGCCAACCTTATGTCCTAGTGATCAGGTCTCAGAAATGGAAATGGAGAATGGCCAAAATCCACACTTTCTAAGAGGGTTTATGTCTTGCTATTTTTCCTCAAGTCTAAGAGTTGTACCAGGACACCAAAGAAGTAATGGTCATCCTACACTGTCATAGGCCACCAGGTCTCTGCTCCAGCCAAGAATCCATAAAAGATCTTGTCTGACAGAGCAGAGATGATAAAAGCTGGCTGCTCTCTTGGATATACATTTGTTACTGGTAGGAGGTTGCAAGATGTATTTTACCTAAGACTGAAGCACAATTTACCTTCTTTTAAAAAATGATAATGAATAAGAGACCATTATGGAGATCTACTGAAGTTTTATATCAGTTTCCATAAAACTAATTAACTTAATGAGCAAACTCTTTGAACCAATATCTAAATGCATTATTGAAGATTTAAACATTCACAAGAAGTTTTTAGAGACTGTTTCAAACTGCCTAGTATTTGTCAAATTTATTCTTTGAAAATACTGAAGACATTGAAATGTAAAATAGATGCAAAGGCCTCTAAAATTATCAGCTTTTATCACTCCAAAATAACAGGCACATAGATTCCTTAAAAATGTGTTAAATTTAATGTCAAATTTGTTCCTGAACCTGTTGAGTTTCCAATATATGCTCTGATCATGGGCTTGACTATGTCTTCCCACCCATCTTAGAATATTAATCACTTCTGTTTTCTTACACCTAATATGGATGTTAGCAGAAAGCCTTCTAATCCTTTTGCACTTAGAACCGAGGTGATCTGTGGGTTGTAACAAAAGA